CATTTAAAATTCAGAGTTTAAAGCAGTTAAAACGTATTACATTCACAAAGAATAGGTGGGTCCTGAAAACACACATCTCACGTGCCAAAGGGAAGGGTAAAAATATGCATCTTCAGCATTTTCCAGAAGTGTATAGGGAAGGGAAGAAGCCAGACCTGTCCCTATAAGGGAGACAATTCCACAGCTTGGGGGCTACCACATTAGGCAGCTTCCTGTGGGTCATATCCAACCAAGTCATATTTAAAGTAGCCCCATTAAAATAAATGGATGACTAACACAAGTAATTTGTGACGGGATTTTGACGGGTCTAAGTATAAAGTAGTGGGAATCACACCTAGCATGACTAGAGATGTTGCAGCAGCTGTGTTTGGAGGACATTTGTGCCCTTAATCCCTTCTGTGGAGTGGCCTCTGAATGTTACATGGCCACCACCTGAAAAGTCAGTGCAAAGTTCAGTTCGTAAGTTACTGGAGCAGCAGTGGAGCTGCTGTTTCATGGACCAGACCCACTTCTGGAGAGAGCATCACACAGGTTCACTGATCTGTGTGGTTCCATCCCTCCTCGGTTGTTGTCAACCATGGGGAAGAGGTGGCCTAGGAGCAAATTGTATCATTGGGACCACCCATGTGGTTAGCCCTATACTCATTGCCATGGTGATGAGCGACTGGCGCAAAGGGAACTAGCCCCAATGCTGCTGTGTTAATGTATTAATTGGCATTTTATTCTTCTTATTTTTACTTTTACTCCAGAGCAAGCTGGTTTTTTAAATATTTGCATGTCAAGGCCCCCAAGCCACCCCCAGGAGAATAAAGGCACAAGGACACATAAATTTAGGTTAAATGTTAATGGGCAAAATTTAGGCCACAACTTTGTTTATAGAGTGTGCGCGGTATTGGCTTAGGCATTGGCATCAACAGACTATATCTGACTCCTGCCTGCCTTGCAGGAAGTCTGGTAAGGGTAAACCTCCAGTAGGGGCAGCCCTGCTGATGCAGATCGACTTGAGCATCCCCTGGGTTCCCGATGGGGTAGTGGCATGGTCCTAGCCCCTCCCAGACTTCGGACGAGATCCACATCCCCAGATTCCTTTAACGGAATACCCTTAAGCATAGAGGGGCAGGTGATGGCCACACCTCACCTCCCCCACACATTGCTATTCCAATGCTAACTGCCAAACCGTACAGTTGTGATGATTGCTATGAGGTAGGTGAAAACCAAGTGGCTGGTGCCAATTTGCCAAGTGGAAAAAGTCCGACCAGCCCCCTCGAAGGCGACCAACCAAAGTCCATAGCCTGCCCTCGCATACAAAAACCTAGATCTCAGAACGCTGCATATAAAAAACTACCTTACGGTCACAAACACACACACATTCCCTCGCCGCCCCCCCTCATGCCACCAGAAAATTAGAACCTCAACGATCAGCGCAGCAGCACATGATCGTCTGTCGTTCTTCCTTGAGAGGAGTCCAACAAGGAGCCCAAACAAAGGGGCTGGCGCCACGTGGAGGGAGGTGAGGAAGGAAACTGAGGTGTCCAAAGCTGAAGATCCACGGTGCGAGGCTCAGAGTCTTAAATTGTCCCTGGCCACGCCACCCAGGCTAGCTGCTTGGCTGCTTGGCATCCTAATGTGGCCAGGGTCCTCCCCAGTGTGACGTTGGACACCATCCCACCCCGATGCTGGGTGGCTAGGGGGCCGGACAGCAACCCAGCCCCACCAGGAAATGGACCCAACTTGTGGTAATGTCCCTATGTTGTGCATGGTGACAGGTAGGCACAACCAGCTCACATTTGGAATTGGAGCCAATATGCATAGGCTTTTAGCCACTAATGACGTGGACATCCCTGTAGTTATGTTTTCATTTGTATTAGTTCTGTTTCCATAACTACCTCCAGGTTCCGCATGACATTTATCAATATTTGGATTCATGGAGGAGCCTTGAGCGAGCTCTCAGTTACACGGCTGTAAAGCAGTTTGGGGTAAAGTTTTACTGATGAATCTATGTACAGTTAAATTAAAAGCTTGCACAGTGGCCTTCCTGCAATCATCTACAGGAATGAAAAAGACACTGGAAAGTTTAAAATGCATAGAACTCTGAGCAATTACTACCACTGAACCACAGAGCCTATTCAAAACTATGAAGCAGATGGTGTGCTTTTATCATCAAAGGACACCCTAAATGTGGTATTTGCTATAAGATGTTTAAAACAGGTGTCTTGCTGAACTCACAGAAGTCACTAGGAAACCTGACAGGATGTGTGTCTTGAACATTTCAGCCTAAAGGGATATAATGAATATTGCTTGCTAAAGAAAAACAACAACCTGTAAGATTAGATTCCACTGCTTAATGATGGTTAGCATCCTTACTTTCAGTTCAGTTATGTTCCATTATTAATTATTATTATTATTATTATTCCTCCCTTCACCCTAAGGTCCCAGGGCAAGTTACAGAAATTGAATCACAATGTTAAAAACAGTTTAAAGCAACTTAAACTGACAAAACAGAGTGGGTCATAGAAATAAAGACTGTCAAAAAAAAAAAAAAACCCTTTTCAGAGATCCTTAGAATTCCAATTTATGGAATAACCAAACTTAATTATTTATAGTAGGTTTACAGGAAATTTCACACTTTGATATGTAATCATGCATGTGTCATGTATGCATATAGCTATTCCCCTAAAAGAACAATACGAATAATCACAATTTTAAACTAAATTTTCAGTTTGCAGGGATATCCTGCCACTATAAGGTGCAATCTCTTTTTGTTATTCTTATGAAGAAAACTATATCCTACCAGCTGTATATAGAATCCTATTATTATTATTATTATCATCATTAATATTATTATTATTATCATTAATATTATTATCTGTGCTGTTATTTTAACTTTTGTGGCGAGTAAAATCATTGAAAAATGATTTCCTAACTGCTTGAAAACAGACACAAAAGTACCAGTGGTAACAGATAATTTTTATAAATACTATTAAATACTGATAAGCATTTAATGATGACTCTTGGGTAGGTGGGGCATGTTGGAAGGATTTTGTTGGGGAGTTGTTGCTGTTGTTTTTGTATATTTCAGATCTTTTGATTTATGTGGAAATGATTCCGCTTGGTTGTGGGGATTTTTATGCTCTATTTATTGCTTATGATTGCTTTTCTTATGTTGTAGTTATGTATATTTTCATGCTGTAAGCCGCCCTGAGCATGGTTTGAACTGTGGAAAGCTGGCATGCAAATAAAATTACATGTGTGTGTATGTATTTAAGTCAGCCATTCTGGGGGTGCCTATAAACACTGTTGAAACAAGCAGCTAATGGGCTTCCTCTTGTGCAACAGGGCTTCCTCCCCTCTCTTCTACCTGTGCACCCATGACCCCCAAAATTATTTGGGGGATCAGGAAAACCTTGAGCTTGAGCAGATGAAATGTTTGTAATAGTACAACACTGAATTCCACTCAATGTTACTGATACTCTAGGAAGCTTCTGGCAATTTCCCTTTACCATCCTCACACATGTTCATACTTGGCAAATAAATACATCTCTTTAAATTAATCTTCCTTTAACTGAAAAGCCTACTTCATAAAAAAAAGGGGGGATATAGTGAATTGCTCGTAAACGAAACCAAAGCATTGCAGAGGAAAACAGCTAAACAACAAAAGACCCACGCCTTCTAAATGGAAGGTGGGGAAACGCAATAAGAAAGATCATTTTCATGGTGGCAAATATCTAATTTTCATTCCAAAACATTCTATTGAAAGGGTCTGTCAGAATGATTGCACTTCTGCCACAACCATGAAAAACTATCTCACTATCTCCTTCTGCACAAGCAGCAAATAGCAAAATAATATGAAATGTGCCATAAAAAATCAGTTATTATTCATTTGTAAGTAATGACTTTGTCAGAATAGCAATAAAAAGTTATCTGACATCACATCTTCTCCCATATATATATATATATGTTGTATAAGAAACTGACTAAATCAAACCACAGCTCCAGTCCTTCAGCTTCAAACTTCTGTAATGTAATGGATGTTTTAAGCATGTCTTCAGGTCAGTTAGACACCATTTATCTAATGCAGGCATAGGCAAACTCGGCCCTCCAGATGTTTTGGGACTACAACTCCCATCACCCCTAGCTAACAGGACCAGTGGTCAGGGAGGATGGGAGTTGTAGTCCCAAAATATCTGGCGGGCCGAGTTTCCCTATGCCTGATCTAATAATACATGGTATACTACAATGACCATGCACAATTCCTTCCCAGGTTCAAGGATCCATGGGAAATCTAATTCCCATAGGTCCTAGTGACTGTTTAGAATGCCAGAATCCATGGAAACATCACAGAACCATAGACTGCAAGAGTTGGAAGAGAGCCTGAGGATGACTTGTCCAACTCCCTACAATGCAGGATTATGAAGCTGTCTCATATGGGGGCAATGCAACCTTGGTGTTATCAGCACTGGGCTCTAACCAACTGAGCTATCCTAAAGATCCTTGCGCCTGAGATGCTGCCACACAGCTCTCAAAGGCCTAATGGAGCCCTGCAGAGACGCATCTTCCTTCCAGGAAAGGGTAGCTGCATCAGGGAGGGCTGACACTGGATCAAGCCCACAAGTTGGGCCAGAACTTTGGAGGGCATTTGGATGCCACTCAGAATGGGCTCAGAATTTTCATATTGGGAACAGCTTGTTTCCACCATCACCCATTTAAAGAAACCAAAAACCAGAAGAAAAAAGCAAAGTAGGGCACAATACATGGCTGAAATGATTTATTCTACTTAGTGGGGCAGGCATTGTGCAATCTGGCACCATTGTGGTGTGTCCTGGACTAATGGTTATCAACCTGAATCTGCAATTTAAGACTAAAAAGAATCTCTGTGATGTGTAAATCAGTGCTTGTTGCAATGAAATAATCAAAGCAGGAACTGTTACAGCTTTAATCCAGATTCAGGTAGGTAGCCGTGTTGGTCTAATGCAGTCGAAATAAATAAAAAAATTAAAAATTCTCCAGTAGCACCTTAGAGATCAACTAAGTTTGTTCTGGGTATCTGAAGAAGTCTGAATGCACATGAAAGCTTATACCCAGAACAAATTTAGTTGGTCTCTAAGGTGCTACTGGATAATTTTTTAAGCTTTAATCCAGCGAGGGAGCCTCAGACTTTACAACAGAGCACAATAGATGAATGTACTAGAGCAATAAATACATAAAAAATGACTAATTCTAACAGCTAACCAGTTGCTTAACAGACAGAAAGCTCCAGACCAACTGTTACTATACAAAGGAATCAAGATATGAAGTATGGGTAATGTCAGCAGAGTCTTGCAGCATTGCTCCACAAACATCCTGTGCCAGGTATATTAGATAGAGCTATACTATTCTACTAACCATTTGTGCCAACTGTCCAATTGCATCTTAGTAATGATTTGCCAATGCAGACTTGCATCATTGCTAGTAAATTAAGTTTGCTCTCAGGGCATCAAGAGCGTCCGTACTTTTCTTCAACTCTCCCAACCCACCTAGAAAGAAAGGAAAAAACCCTCCACTGCACAGCAAAGCTGAACGCCCAGGGCCTTCATAATGTGCAATGATGCAGCATGCTCCACACTGTGGAGTTGAGAAAAGGAAATAAATGTTCCACTTGCATTTTAATTCTCACGTTGGATTGGACTAGGGATGGGGGAGAAAGCATTTAAAGGCAAACCAAACTCACCAATACATGAAACGTGGCCATCCTTTGAAATGTTCTCAATTTTGCAATGCAATTCCACAGCCAAGCAATGTACAGAGAAATGCATACACTAGCATAAAGTGTCCACAGAAATGCACATATTAGTTAAAATAACATACAAAAATACACGACTTTACAGGAAATTGCTTTGCAAAACTTGTATATTAGGTAAAATTACAAAACCCACATTGGAATGCCGCTGAATTTTCCTGAGAACTTTTTTTTTATTATTTAAAAGAAATCCCGAATTTACGTGGAAATGTGACGAATCAAACTTATGTCTGGAAACACAAGAAACTGAAAGAAGCATAAAGTGACAGATTTGCCATCCTTCAATGGGACTCAGTGTATGGCTTCCTCAGTTCAGAGTACTGCAGCGAGGAATGTTGGTATAACGCTGGTATAGCAGGTAGAAACACAGTTACCTTTTAACAGTGCAGTGCTAACCATGCTTCAGCGAAAATCTAACTGTGCTTATTGGGGCTTACTCTGTAGTAAGTGTGCTTAGGATTGCAGCCTTACAAGTATGAAGCAACCAGCAGAGAACCACATAACTAGCTTTGGATTTCTGCTCTTCAAATAATAGCCCTCTGTCCACATCGTTGTATGGCAAAGCACAATTTAGGCTGTGACCCTAACCCCATTTACCTGGGAGTAAGTCCCTCTTGAATTCAATAGAGCTTACTCCTGCATAGCTGTGGTTAGGACTGTGCTCTGCTTGATGACTGCAAAAGCTATCTTTCTTCTCCCACATCTTGAATAATTATTCATTTATTTTTTAAAAATAAATAAATAAATGCTTCATAAAGAGAACATTCCTTGCATTTGTTTTGTTTTACTGCTGGATTTATGACTGAACAGACTACATTATTTATTTATGTGTTATTTTGAAAACTACATAGTGCCGTACAAACTAATATTTAGCTTTTATGGTAAAACACTTGAACAGATGTGATTGACAATGAACCGTCTCAGATACTGTATTGATATACATCTTGGGCAAATTCTACTGTGTAAAATAGATGTTTACAAAAAGAGACAACAGGAAGCAAGCAATTCCTTTTGCTGAAATTTCAAGAACACCTGTCTCTTTAAATAAGGATTCAAAGAGCTCTTTCATTCAGTACAAGGCTGTTTCTCAAAATACATTCAAAGGCAGAAGCAAAACCTTCCAAGCTGCCCCCTGAATGCAAATGCAATGTGAAAACTACATCTATATCAGCAAGAAAAGCTGTGTACAGAATCTTTTAGAAGTCTGTAGGCTGTGTGGGTCAACAGAAGTCACAGAAGCATGATGCAGGTAGTGTGATTAATATAATTACTATAGTTCAGTAAAACATTCATTGCAGATTAAAACTCTTCCCCCTTCCACCCTCCCCCTATGAATTAATCAGTAAAATGGACTGAAAGGCATACGACTGTGCAGGCTACAGAGGTATCTCAGCTATGATATGCATCAGAGATGCATCAATGTGGTTTCCGTGTTCCCAGACTGGATGAAACTGAAACTTAAAGAATGGCTTATGCTTCCATTCTCTTTAGGGCTTTCCAAGTAACTGACCAGCATTTTGAATCAGGCTTTTAAACGGATCAAGAGAAGAGCTAGTGAAACAGATGTAACAGTGGCCTTATTCAGGCATATTACAAGAGAGTTCAAGCAGTGAGTGAGCAGGCAGCTGTGCTGGGCTAAGCATCCATGCATAAATGCTTGGGGGGGTGCCTTCAGGGAACCAGCATTTTCCACATTCCACACACCTTTCAAACCTTGCACAGTTGAGGCTCCTTTGCATCTACTGCTGAACCCGCAGAGGCTGCCTCTCTGCAAATATCCATGCTGCACGTGCAAATGTTAGGGAAAGGCTAATTAGCACGTGTAGCCCCAGAAAATAGCTTCTTGGTGCAACATGGCCTTGTTCATGCACTGGGTGAATTTGTGAGTACAGTGGTACCTCAGGTTAAGTACTTAATTCATTCCAGAGGTCTGTTCTTAACCTGAAACTGTTCTTAACCTGAAGCATCACTTTAGCTAATGGGGCCTCCTGCTGCCGCCGCGTTGCCGGAGCACAATTTCTGTTCTCATCCTGAAGCAAAGTTCTTAACCTGAAGCACTATTTCTGGGTTAGCGGAGTCTGTAACCTGAAGCGTCTGTAACCTGAGGTATCACTGTAAAATGCCTGAATGGGGCTCATGAAGCTGCACGATTTGAACAACTGGCCCCTGGTCAAAATGCTAGATGCAGCAGCAGCTTTCGAAAACTCCTAAAAGGCAGCTCTACTTAAAGTGTGCCGTTGTAATCCACCCAGATGCAATTAAGGCATGTGGGACACTGGCTAGATCCCCTTTATCAAAAAATGAATGCATGAACCTAAGCTGCACAAGCACAGCTTTTTTCATTGTTTCTTCACATGATTTATATTCCACACCTTCAGCATAAAATTGTATTCCCAGGGCGACTAGAGCAAAGCAGCAGGAAACATTATGGTCAACTAGGGTCAGCCATTCCAGCCATAGGAGAGCTGGGAAACAGAGTCCACCAGCTCTGCTGTGACAGGCCAGCCCCACCAGGTCCCCTCTCCCTCCACTGTCTGCCTCAATGGGGAGACAGGAAGCAGGATTCATTTCAGCTGGTCCTTATAGGAATGACCTCTTCCCTCCCGGTTCCTTTTCTCTTGTGCATCACCCCCCCCCCATTGTAAGCCTGTGACAGAGGAGTGGGGTACAAGATGTTCTAAATAATAAACGTACAGGAGGCAACCATTTTAGGCATGTCCAATTGACGCATGGTCGCTGATGTGTGGGTCCTTTTGGACCCCGAAGAGGACAGAATGGGGGCATAACGGGGCAGGGCAGGGAGGAATGGGGGTGGGACAAGGAGGGGAATCTAACAAGTGCTTTTTCAGTAGTGGTCTGATCAGTTCCTTGAGATCTATAGCAATTGTGTCCTCTGCTAAAGAGGCTAATTAATATGTATATGTATACACATATATATCTGTTCATTCTGTTCATAAAGCAGTCCTTTGTCTGCTTCAATTTTTTAAGAAAGGTGAAGGTCATAAATTATGAATTTCTGATTCCAAAAATGGAAAGAAGCAATAATCCCAATGAGGGAAGAATGGCAAGCCAAACTGCTGGACTATGCCGAAATGGCAAAACTAACTGGGGAGACTCAGGAACCAAGAAGACAAGGGGTTTAAAAAGGAATGGGGAAAATTTGTAATTTACCCAGGAGACCATTGTAAGCAAATCAAAACTTTAAGTGGACTATAAGAATCACTTGTAAAGTAACAAAGATTATGGATAATCTGAAAAAATGAAAATGGTGGAGAACGTACTGATGTGTAGTTTTAATTATTGTCATAAGGACCCATGTAGGGGATGGAGGGGGGAGCCATGAGATTCAGCGAATATCACAACATGATACACAAACTGATTGTAAATTTGTATTGATAAAAACAAGTAAAATTATTTTCAAGAAAATATATATTTTAAAAAAATGAAACCAATTTCAGCATCTCTAAATTTAAGATGAAAGATGGGATATGTTTTCAACAAATAAACTCTTTGAAGATAGAAAATGTGATAAAATATTGGTGAAGTGCAGACACCTAAGGAGATGGCGAGTTTCTGAACACTGTGCAAACATTTTGTCAACTTCCTGCTCCGTTAGAAAGTATAACTTGCAACTATGAGCAAGAGTCACCTTTGAAATCAAGTTTTTAGTGATTGGATTAAAAGAGCTGCTTGGAAAGGCGTTGGTGAAATGATAAGTGAATTGCAGGAAATAAGAAATGTCACTCACAGAGTTCAGCAACCTAACGAGACTCTGCCAACATATTATGCAGACGGTCTCTGTAATTGGCATATACATTTTCCAGCCAAGGAACAGAATGGGGAGTGGGATTGTTGGAGCTTAATAAGTGTATACATTTATACTAGAGCTGGGTGCAAATTTCCTACTCTACTAGTGATCAGAGAAAGTGTGGTGAGGGCATTTCACCAAATTTCTTCAGGAGGAGAAATTCTCCCGCAGTTTTTCAAGCTTGGGGCTCACCAGTAGCAGTGACTGTCGCGAATTCCTCACGGCGCTTTTAGCAGAAACGCTCAGAGTCCCAGGGTTTTCCAGTGCAGTCTTTTTAATGTGAGCTATATACAGGTATTTACAAAAACAGTCCATACAGAGTACCTGCTCCTTAAGGCAAACGAATACTCTCCACCACAGCACCACCACACCACAGCACAACCACCATTACTGTTGAACAGGGTTTCCTTTTAAAACAGGTGATAGCCAATCACATTCCTGCTGAGTCACTCTGACCCAGCACTTCACAGAGTATTGCATCAGCCTGTTGAAGCCTGCAGACTTACTCATCATCCCGCGAATCCCAACAGTGAC